CCTTTTCAAATTTCCCTATTCAAATCTCTGAATTGATCTATCAGTCTAACAGGATAATGATGTCTAGGGCAAATGACAGCCTCTTTGTCACTGAACTTAAGCTGGGATTAGAGAGAGCAAGATATTTAATTTTCACGTTGCCTGCATAGTCCTGAGTACATATACCAAATCCCTCACACATTGCGAAGTGAAATCTACTCATTACTTTTCGGTTATAATATTTGCAAAGTCCTGAAACTTTTATTAATCTAGGAATTTCCTTCTCTTTAAATTCCTAATATTCCATTTGTATACATGAACTGATTTGTTGAGTCTTTTCTTCTTTTTGGATTAAACTTTTTTAAAAAAACAGCATTTTTTTTACATGCATATGAGAGTTTATCATTGTCACCCCAGCTCTCCTAACTCACTCTACCCTTTGTCTCTGACTGTACTTTCTAGGTCCCTTTGCTATATTCTTTCTTTTTATTTAAACATATGAAGAATTAATACAAGACTTGTTCATTGACCTCACTTCCATATCACTGTGTCTGAAACTCTTACTGTGCACTTATCATTCCCCCTTCAAATGCATTACCTCCTGACTAACTGTTATTGTTATGTATACACACACAAGTATACAGGTATACTTTTATATAAACACAACCTGTTAATCCATTTGCTGTACCAATCTCTCAAATATTTTATGGATATATTGGCAAAAGTGGTAATGCTTTACATATTATAATGTTTTACATAAGAGCTTGTGAAGACCTTTAAGCTTCATGGATATAATAGCCATGTGACAATTGCTGGTTTGCATTGTTAGGCAGGATTTACTTCTTTTAAGGAGGACTTGAGTTTTCTTAGTTAGATATCAGATATTCATAAGATATATCAGTGAGTAGTGTACCTTCATGAAATATAGCCATGGTGGTCATTGTGTTTCAAAGTTATTATAACTAAATTAGACAATTGAATCACTGTCTTCCTAAACCAGCTTTCTGAATGCATTCCTACTCTTTAATAGCTAATCATCAGAACCAGGGTTTCATGTATTTCCTGTTCAAATTTCCCTATTCAAATCTCTGAATTGATCTATCAGTCTAACAGGATAATGATGTCTAGGGCAAATGACAGCCTCTTTGTCACTGAACTTAAGCTGG